CTCGGATCAAGATCCTCAATTCTGGCTGAATTTTGAGTCTTGAATCTTTGTTTTTTAGCCACGGATCTTCAAAATTGATTGAGGGCTTTCATTACCCGTGAGATTCTGAGTATTTTGACACCAAGATCACGATGATCCAACGGCTAGATCACCGGAACCATCCTCCCATTTTTCTCACGGCGGCGGCGGTTCGTTTTCCGGAAAGCCAATGGCGGTGACCACGGCTGGTGGCTCAGAACGACTCGTCGGCTCCTTCTGAAGCTAATGAGCTGGGCGGTGTCGTTCACGGCAGCCGGAGGAGGGAGGTACGAGGGCCGCAGCGGCGAGAAATCCGACCACCACGGGCGGCGGCGCTCCGGTCAGAATCGAGCCGTGCTGCTGGTACGGTTTTTTTTGTCTATTCGCTCTGAGTCTATTGGGACCGAAATCACCTCAATCGGACACCGGACGGCGAAGATATCACGATCAGAAGTTTTGGTGTTTTTCAAAACTTTAGCCGGCGAGTGTGGCGTCGTCCGGCGGAGTTGGCGGCTGGAAGACACCAATCCGGACTCAGCTCGACGAGATCTTTCCAACGAGCCGGGAGGTGTCAAAAACGAACGCCAGAATCTCGCCGGAGGTTGGTCGGCCGTACGTGGAGAAAGAGAGAGAGAGAGAGAGAGAGAGAGAATGAAGAGAGAGAGGGAAAGTGAGAGTTTTCTGATTTGTGAGGATGAGGAACACGCCCAAGTGGCACTAAATGACAGGTTGGGCATGCTGACTGTCAAAATTTTTATTTTTGACCCCTATATTTCTCTTAAATTCGAATTCTGACCCAGATTTCTAAAATTTTCACACTTAAGTATTTAAAAATTTCAAATTGACCCCAAATAAATTTTGGGTTTTACAAATCTAATAGTAAAAAAATAGTGCTCCACTTTAAGAGGTCTCGCCATAAAAAAAATATTTAAAAATTATTAATTCTATATATTTTTTTAATTTAATGTAATTTTTATTAAATTTAATAATTAAAAATAAAAAAATTACCGACAATTTATCTTTTTAAGAGTTATTAGAGGAGCCCCTTATTTTAGACAGCTTGTGATGTATTATCACAACGTGCTTTTTTTCGTTGTCCTTTTTTTTTTTTTTTTTTTCCATTTTATGTTTGGTGGCATTGCAAGTTTCACCAATCAATGCGTATCCCGTTTACGTTCATTTTTCAAACATGATCAACAAAAGAAAAATGTTCATTTTTCAAACATTTGCATATACACAAATTAATTATCAAATTGCTACGGGCTTATTGCATTGCACTTAGTAAAGGTTGTTTTGATTTAATATATTTTCTGATCAAAATAACAAATTAACTGCCTTATCAATTAGTTACTAAAATTTGATTTAAAAAAAAGTAGTCTTATAAGGCCCTAAAGTAGTCTTATAGGCCCTAATGCATGATGTTTCAACAAACTCTGGGTGTTCTTTTTACAATTCAAATAAAAACTCAAATTTTTTTATCAGAGAAAAAATACTATAAAAAAATATTAAATTAAATTTATATAAGATAAAACACTGTAATAAAAAAATTTAAATTGCAATTTGAGTTGTAAAAATAATAAGGCCTCTATATATTCATTTGCCTTTTCCCATCATGTGGGTTAATTCTGTTGCTTTGAGGTTGATTCCCAAAAAAAAAAAAAAAAAAAACGAAAAAGAAAAGAGAGAGAGAGAGAAAAAATACTGCTGCTTTGTTTAATTAATAAGTTTCTTTCATAATCTCCAATATGAATTTTATAGTAAAAACGTATTGAAATATATGCAGTAATAGATTACTAGAATTTTGTCTGCTATTAAGAATTATATGCCATAGTTTTATATTATTGAGTTCAATAAAAGCGCAGAAAATAAATCAAGCAAAAAGATAAAGATTCACCTTGACATAAAATTACGTCTTTTTTCAACCATTATAGTTTTCTCTATGATAAAAAGTAAGTTTATAAGAAAAAACCGCACACCTCACAACTCTCTATTTTTTTTCTAACCTCTCAACTAAAATTGGCGCCCATTTTAATATATATAAAAAAGGGATTTTCTTTTAGATGACAAAAAAATGAAACTACTAGTAGTTTTATTTTTTCAACTGTTATATCTATATTAGAAACTATCTATTCTACATATATTTTAATCTCATTTAATTTTAACAAGATCTAAAAATTAACAAAATAATTTTACTGATAAAACGGTCTATCAAAGACAGTTCCAACTAAAAAATCAACGTCGATTCTTGAATACAATAAATTATTAGGGTATAATTGTTTTTTTTTTCTTCTTCTTTAGACTTCACTACTTTAACATCTTTTCTTGCTACGGAGTAGGGAAACTGTCAAATGATCATCGAAGAAAAGGTTCAGTTACACTATTTGTTAGATGGCACGTGATCCATTAGTATTGATTGCATTTGTTTAATGAAAATTAATTACTGGTAGTGTTTTTTTAGGAATAAACTATTTGTAGCGGTTTGTCTCCTTGCTTATTCATTCAAAGATAAACGGAGGAAGCTTTTCGCTCCTTTTATAAATTTAAATTTTTAATTTAAATTGAGATATGATATTTTTTTAAAAATTTTCACTCTAACAAAAAATATATATTTAATTAAATAATTGAAAGCAGGAAGCGGTATTACGTATTATGTATTTGAATGCTAAACTCATTATTAGAGGTCAGTGTGGATTTACTATTAAGCCAAAGCCTTCAACCGCTTACGTATATGTTCCGTACTATATCATTTCAATACAAAAGACAATATCAACTTCTCTAAAAAAAAAAAAAAAAAAACGATGTTAATCCTTTTAGTACAAAATTAAAGCAAAAATTTTTTTTTTATACGTTATTGGATTTTGTGCTCCATTATATAATACTATAATATACTTTTCGTAATAGTATTTAAGCTATAGAAATTAATTATGCATAAGCTACATTATTTTCTGACTAAAGAGAAATACAAAAGCCGACAATAACCTTGAAAAAAAAAAAGAAAAACATATCCTTGAAATAAATTATTTAATTTATTAAAGTTTCGTTCATTTCACCGATTTGAATTTAAAATTTAAGTTTTATTATAAATAAAAATTCTCAAAAATAATTACATTTAATTTTTTTTATTACAATAAAAAACTCTCATTTAAAATCACATCTCAATTTAAATTAAAAACTTAAATTAACAAACTAAACGGGTCTTAAATTTTATAATCACGAAATACTTTTCTTTAATGGTTCAAGAAAGCTAAGCCATGCACTAAGGGCCGGCTATATACCCTGAAAACTCTTGGGTAGGGCCCATTTTTATTTGTTACGGAGGTTGAATTCCATTTTCGAACTATGCTGGTTTTGACGAGAAACCCAATGTAAGGGGATATTTGGTAAATAGATTCGTACCCTGATTCGAATCATGATTCATAGTTCGCTACAGTATTTTTTTTATAAAAAATACACATAAATCGAAAATGATTCTAATCTCATGATTCTAATCCATGAACCAAACGTCTCCTAAGAGATTCCTCATTATTCATTAAAATTAAGTATCTTTTTTTTTCATATATTTAAATTTAAATTTTTGATTTTGTTATAATATTTTTTGTTTATAAAAAATTTAAAATTTAAACATTAAAATTAAGAATTATAATTTGAGTCTACTTTCTAAGCGGATCTTAATTGTTCTAACAAGTGGAGTAAAATAGCATGCTTCACTGTAAAGATTCCCTTATAATAAGAGTCTTTACAGTAGAGTAACCTATTTTGCTTCACCGGTGGGAATTGTGTTTTTACCGTTTTAATAATTTTTCAATGGTCAAAACTGCAGTAGAAACAGTTTTATGTGGTGCATTGTAAATTTTTAATATGGATATGCACATATCTAACTGTTAAAAAACTAATTCAACAATTAAAAACAACTGTTTCTATTGGGAAAGTAAATAACTTACTCTTTTGCATGAAGTTTTCCAACGAGATATTAGGAGTACGGAGTGTCTTATCAATTTTCTCACTTATAGAGTAATTATCCAATATTGTATTAAGAAAATTACAGTAATCCAAAAGGAAAAAGGAGATAAATATCTCTTAAAATGTATGAATTTAGATTTTTATCTCTTACTTTTAATATTTTTTTTAGTCAAATAACTATGGCCTTGTTAGTTTCACAGATTCAAGTTTTCAATTCGAGCTGAGATGTGACATTTTTAAGAGCTTTTAACTATAGCAGAAAATGTTAAATACGACATGTTTTGAGAAGTTTTAACTGTAAAAATTTAAAATTAAAAACTCAAATCGGTAAAATGAACAAAACCTATATTAATAAAAAAGATATTGATCAAGAATTAAAAATAAATATTTAAATTCATACACACTAAAACTAAGTTTAACCATTTGCTCAAACCCTCCAAAATAACACTTCTAAGTACATATTATAATACACTCTTCTCAATTAAAGATTACCATAAATTAAACTAAATTGTGCACCAAAATAATTTTAGTAGAAAAAATGTCTTCTCGCACAAAGTCGTTTTCCACAACAACTCATTGGGAGTTGTCGGAGTTCGGAATTGGATAGATATCTTCTTAAAGGAAAAAAAGAAAAGAAAAGAAAAGAGCATTTCTTTGAAATACCCAAAAAATTAAAATAAAAGTTCAAAAATTTAAAATAATGTATAGAAACAAAAATAAAAATAATCATAATCATAAATCGTCGTGCGTATTGATTCACGAGACAATCTCCTTCACGTGTGTGATACACGTGTATGGTTTTCAGGAGATAAAAAGAAACTATTCCACCGACAGGTGGGCACCAAAAACTGGTAATGCGTGAGTTAATTCGCGAGAGCACGTGCTAAGTTACCGGACCAGCCGGTCATCTCCACCGGATATATCGGTAACTAACGCATGCACATTTTTTATTCAAGGAGAGAGAGAGAGAAAAAAAAAAAGAAAAGGAATTAACGGTCAATATCTTATATAATACTCCGTGTGAATAAAAATCTGTGTTGTCTGCCTTTTGCTGTAGTTGAAAGCTTTTCTTTTTAATCAGAAACTTGTTTGAGAGGCGAATTGGGTTTTGGTGGGCAGTGAACAAGTGTGAATTTTCGCTTGTTTTTGTTGGGTTTTTGGGGTGGGACTTTGCTCATCTTTTTTTGTTTTGTTTTGTGAGTGACTTTGAGGGTTGAGATGGAGAGAGATTTCATGGGGTTGAGCTCAAAAGAGCCTTTGGCTGTGGTGAAGGAGGAAATTAATAATGATGGCTTCAAAGACTCAGGTGTGTTTACATATATATATATATATAATATGCATATATGAATATATATATATGTATATATATTATAAACATACACACACACACACATATATATTGTGTTCACTTTTGGCTGTTTTGCAAGATTTGGGACTAGAACTCAAATTTTTAGTTGTTGTGTGGTGAAATTGTAATCTTCTTTGGGGCTCTGAATTGTGGGTTTTCTCTGAATTTTTAAGTTGTTGTTGTTGTTGTTGTTACATGGTCTCTGGTGGATTAAGAATTTGTGAATTGAATATGGGGAAGGTGAAACTAAAATGGTTTTCTAATTTCATTTAAAGCCCTTTTTCTTTTAAACCCACTTATAACTGCCAATGAAATTTCAGTTATCTGTTATGAAATTTCTTAATTCAATTGGATTAGATATGGTATTCCTGTATGTTACCAAATTCTCATAACAGTTTAATTTAATTTTCTAGTGACATGTTTATGCCTAAAACTGTGTTAGCAGAAGTTTTAACTGTTTTCAAGCAATCAGCTAAAGAATAATAAGCAACCACAGTAATATCAAGATTTATTCAAAGGTTTAGCATCTTATGGCCGTTTTGAACTTTTTAAGTTATTTAACAATATTTGACTATAAAGGAGAGAGGATTTATGTTTTTTCATGAGAGTATGGCGTTTTGCTAACAAATTATTTGTTTATTGTGTCCAACTAACATTTGTTTATCATCATTTTTTCACGATTTGAAGGTTATACCAAGGGGTCTGTTGTGCAATGGCCTTTCTCAAACAAGGTCTCGGCTTTACCCCATTTCATGTCTTTCAAGGTTGGTCAAGAAGATAAGATTAGGAAGACTACCTCAGAGACACACATATCTTCCGGATTCGGGCCTGTCTCGACTGCAGATGCATTCGACCAAAGCCAAAAACGCGCTATGTTTGAATTCCAGGTCTGTATCATCATTTGCAATTTGGAGTTGGGTCCTAAAATAAAACTAGATGTTAAAGCAAATTGTCTATATGCCGTATTTAGATCTAGTTAATTTTTTGTAGCATAAATAGGATGAAAATTTTTGTGGAATTTTTTCTTGTTTGAATTTTGCACAGATCTTGCTTTTGGGCGTGTTTGGTTTATGTTCATTTAGTAACTTCTTAATGTAACTGGGGAAAGATAATGGTTTCTGCTAGTATCAAAGGATCCTCTTGTTTTGCTTTTTTCTTATTGGTTTTTGGTCTTTTACCGTCTAGAAATCCTTCAATCACGATAGGCAAGGTGGTCCTCATTTTTCCCTGACAGCTTATCCTGTGCAACATGATATGTATTCTGTGCACCGTCCTCATGATGTGAAGATGTTTTCAGTTCCCAATCAAGCAATTTCTGTTTCTATGGGCAACCCTTTCTTGAAGGATCAGTTTCCCTCTGCTGGACAGAATTTGGCTGCTGCCACTACCATGAAGCAACAATTGCTCGGAGGAATTCCCGTGACATCCCCGCACATGGTTCTTCCAAGCGCTTGTTCGATTGCTGGTATCACTGAACCATGGTAATTTTGGCTTTAGGCTTCTACTACAAATATAGAATTTTCTAGGAAATGTAATTTTAAAACGAAGGAGCACCACTTCTAATGTGGAATATTTCTGCAGGAATAGTTCCAAGGCATCTGGATCTCCTGCTCAGTTAACGATCTTTTATGCGGGCACCGTCAATGTCTATGATTGTATCTCCCCTGAGAAGGTTCTCTCTCTCTCTCTCACACACACACACACGCACACACATATGCACACTTGTGCCATTCTGGTTATCAAACCTCAAATGGGTCATGTGATGGAAAACTTATCTGGGTCGTCTTTTACAGGCACAGGCTATTATGTTCTTGGCTGGGAGTGCGTCATCCATGCCCTCTAATGCAGCAAACCTGAAAGCTCAAGTCCTGGCACCAAGCTCAAAGTTGGGAGCTGCCGACGGTGTTCCCGTGAATCAGCCAATGAATACATCCAATTCTCCTCTTTCAAGCCCTTTGTCCGTGTCTTCACATACCAGTCCCCAGTCAGGGAGTGGATCCACTTGCACTGATGAGCTGATGGCAGCTAAAACCACAGGAATTCCTACTACTGTTAGCAAAATGGAGCCTCCCAAGATAATGAATGCAGTTGGATCTGTTCCCGCAACTGCTATGATGCCTTCAGGTATTCTACCATTCTTTATCAGTAGTTGCAGCAAAACAATTCATGATTGTTTCATCTAATACGAGCTTATATCTTCTTTTCATGCAGCCGTTCCACAAGCTCGCAAAGCATCCTTGGCTCGGTTTTTAGAGAAGCGCAAGGAAAGGTCAGTAGTCATGTAGATATTTTCTGCTGGTTCTACTTAATATATGCTTCATAACCGTTATTTCTACTGGTCTTTGAAAGTCTTAGCAACAGTTTAGGTCTCCATTTTTTATTGGTAAATACCGAGAAGGACCCTTCCGACCTAAAGATTGTTTCATCTTGCTCTCTAAGCTACTACACATAATTATAGATTGATTGTTTTGATGTTCTTTCTTCAAAATTCGGACTGCATATCGTTTACCGTTTGTTTTAGGATCTTCTCTTGAACAGTTGCTCGGTCCCTATGCTAAAATGTTAATGCAAACGAGCCGAGAAAGTTAATTTTAACTTGAGGTCTTGTGTGCTTTTTCATTGCAGGATGATGAATGCAGCTCCTTACAACCTCTGCAACAGCTCTTCGGAATGCACCGCCGCTGAATCCAATGGTGCAAATTTCGCTGCAAGTCCGGCTGCAGACTCTTTTCGTTAGCAAGGAAAGTAGCTGAGATCTGTGATTCAAATTATTGGAAAACGATTATTGCAAAATTTTATGTAGCAAGTGAAATATGTAACAAATGGTTCTTGTTACTATTCTTCAAAAGTGAACTGTTTTTATCGTTCGACTGTTTTTAGATTTTTAAGTCTTGACAGTCATTATAATATGTAGATGATGGGGTTGGAGTCTTTCCAACACTATTTTTAATTTTGGAAATTTTAGTCAGGATTTTTGCCTCCCGGCTGTAGAACATTGGGCACCATTTTGTGTAACTAAATATAATTTCTTTTTTGTATTGTGGAAATAAATACCAACTTTAAGTTATTATATTTAGATGTCCCCCACTGGTATTTTCTTCCTCAGCTATCTGGTCTGAAAAGCTTTTGCGTGGTGAATTTAGAACTCGTTTAGTTCATTGATTTAAATTTTTAATTTAAATTAAGATGTGATTTTATGTGAAAATTTTTACTGTAATAAAATGTGATTATTTTTAAAAGCCTTTTATTATAGTAAAATTTAAAATTTAAATTCAGTAATTAATCTTCCTTTCTTCTTCAGCTGTGTTTTTGAATGTTAATTGATATTATATCAAAAATGAAAAAGTATAAAAAACTGACAGAACTTACATAGATCCGGTGTACAGGATGCAAATCTTTCAAGCAAAATTAACCAAATTTAACAAACAAAAGTTTGCAAGGAATTAACCAAATTTAACAAAAGTTTGCTAGGAAATTAACAACATCAAATCAAGATTTGACATTTTGACCCTTCTACAGAAGAACTCTCCCTTTTCTAACATATTGGTCTCTAATACTATATATGTTTATTGGAAATATCCCACGTCGTAAAACAAAAAACAAAAATTACAATTTAGGTCTCTGCCACTTGATGATGAAAATATTCGATTTCAAGTGTTAAAACAACGATATTAGCTAATAGCTGGGATTTTTATTATCATTATTATTATTTTTTTTAAGTTGTTGTAGTGACTTTGTTTGGACCACAAAAGCTTGTAGCAGCTCTGTTTATTAGAATTTCACCCTCATAAATAGATCAATTTACACAGTTGGTTAGCCAACTTTTTTTTTTTCCTTAATGGGTTAGCCAACTAGTTACTAGCCTGTCTGGACTGTTACCCGAAATTCCATTTGATTTCAGTCGATAATAATTATCTTTTTTAAGTACTTGGTTTTGCACATCACTTACGAAACTAAACGTGTGAATTGAATTTTCTTCTGTTTTCTATATTATTGGCAAACAAGCTTGTCTTCAGTTGAAGAGGACAACCAAATTAAGATAATCTAATATACGAATTTAGAAAAAAAAAAAAAAAAAAACCCCCTCTACTACTTGTATATTATGAACCTTAAATTTACGCAATATTTATTGTTAAATTTATACCCTATATATAGTTTTTTATTTTTATATTTTGTGAAAATTAATAAGCTTTATTATAAGCTTAATTATAAAGAATTAGTTATAAAAATAGAACTGACCAATGTTGTTTTATGTGTGCGTCTAATACTCAAAGAGGTATCACGTTCTTTAGGTTATCCAATAATTGTGTGGACCATTTTGTATCGACAAAGTTGTCCACTTGATGGAAATAAATTTATTAAAGCCATGATTGAGATAGGAACCAATGCCTTCTTACATCATTACCTGCATTTACTGCCCTATGCTAACTTTTTTTTAAAAAAAATAAAAGGGTATCTTGTAATATAATCTCTCTGTCTCTCTTTTTTTTTTTTTTTTTTTTTTTTTAAAAAGAAGTATAATCCAATTAATTTTTTTAATTCTTTATTAAGGACATCACAATTTGCATGGCAATTTGCCAAATTGCAGTGTACATAGTGAGATCCATTTCTTTACATGCACATGCTTTTCTGTAAAAGCAATTTTATTATGATAGTCCCATTACTATTAATTATTAGCCTGTCATATCAGACCACTTTTATATTTTAATTGTCTATATTGATAAATAAAATCTTGAACATTTCTATTTTTATTTGTTGTTTTCACAACTAATTCCTCTACTAGTAAAAATTTTCACGTAAAGCTATAGCATAAGAGTATATGATAATTAAAAACTAGTTACGATGCCCACTGGGAATACTACAAGAATTCTCCTTTCCTGCTCTAGATTAGATACGGCATTTCTTTTTTTATAAAAAGAATATTTCATCCTTGAAAGATGACATATTTGCTTTGATACGGGCAATAGTGAAGGGGAAAAAAATAGAGACTCCTAAGGGTAGGACCGGTAATATGGGTCACGACACGATAATATGATTCGAAAACGATACAAATTTCGCGGGTTAGGGTTGAAAAAAAAGGAATTCAGATCATAATTGGGTCGACTTGAAATTAACACGAAAAACACATTTCAATTTCAGGTTGGACCCGCCTAACCCGAATACGACACGAAACTCGTAAAAAAATTAAAAAATACATATATTTTTCATTACATATTTTTGATTTTATTATGAACTTGTGATAGCATAATAGTTATACTTAAAATCTTATATTATTATTTGCTTAATTTTAATGGATATTATTGTATTTTAGTATGTTATGAATTTTAAGTTATTTCTAATATGTAAAAGACTAAATAAAAGTATACAATTTTCGTGTCAAATTCGGGTTTACGGGTCAATTTCATGTTACGTGTTATTTTCGTGTCGTGTCGTGTCAACCCGTAAAGTGATCGTGTCGTGTTCGTGTTGCGGTTTTTAAAAAATTTTGTGTCATGGGTTGTGTTTGGGTTGACTGTAAATTTAAAAAGAAACAATCAAAACACGACACGTGACACAAATTGTCATCCTTACTTAGAGGATAGGATCTTTTTACAAAAAATAAAAAAATAAAAAATATATATAAGTGAAACTATCTTATACGCTCACGAATAGCTCGTTTTTCTGGCAGGAAAAAAATAGAAAAAATAGATATCCTAAAAGAATTATACAGTGGGTGCAATAATATTATCAACTATAAATGTACGATTTAAATTGATCGATGGTCATGAAGCTGGTGTAACATTATTGTTCAAAGAAATTCTCTCATAGTATTCAACCTCACATGATGGTCATGGTTACTGATCTTTTACTTCTTTTAGGTGCTCTACGATAAAAATTCCATTAATGTTATAATTTGCAAGGAATAATAGCTTCTGCTCTCTTAGATATACATAAGGATAAAAATATCAGTATCGATAAAAACATTAGTACTCTAGTTTTACAGAAATTTAAAAAAAAAAATTAATATTAGTGGAAATATCAGAGAAAAATCATAAAAATTTACATGAGAACATAATATTCCTAATATTTTATAGTAGAATAACTATTAAAAAGATTCATAAATAAATAAATTTTGCATAAAAAAAGATAATATATATATATATTAGATTTTTTAATACTAAAAAGAAGTTTTATGAGGCTCAAACATAGTTTGTAATTTCATTTTAATTTAAACAATATTAATGCCATGATATACTATTTGAATAGTAATGAAAATAATTATGAACATGCCACGAATAAGAAATTTACAAACAAACAAAAAAAAACTTTAAACGACTGATATTTTTATTTTTAAAACTTTTCAAAATTTTCTCCAAAATTTACCCAAATTATAGTACTATATGCGTATTGATATCGTTATCATGATCAATATTTACTTATATTTCCGATATTATCTTTGAATATTTTGCCGAAACTAATTTTGTGGCGGAAAAAATTTCAGGACATTCAAAAAATCAAAATTTCGAGTGAAATTTACAACAATGGATATGGAACAATATTTCTTAGAAAAGGGTCAAAAAAAAAATGTGTGGATTAGGATAGCTAAAATAAGAGTGCGTGTCATGCCACTATGACGGTGGGCAGACATGAAATTGAAAGGATGATGCAACAACATTGCCACCATAACACAACATTCACGTGCGCAGATAACGACATCATTCAGCTGACTACCAAAAACAAGTGGCTGTCGTGTTTAGAAAAAAAAAATTAAATGGCTGTGATTTTAAAAATCTTTTTTTTTTTTGTTAATTCTCTAATTACAAGAAATATGATTTGAGAAAAGGTTTTCCGGTGATCGGTAATTCAGTCACGTTTTCAATTTAACGCTATTTTTAGTAGTGCGGGGTCCGCCTTTGCCCACATGACGTGCAGTTTTGTCAAATGCCTCTAACCAATCAATGAAAGACTTTGCTTTGCAGTAATGTCTTGCCTTGTCACGGCTGTGGTGTCAATTTCTGGCTTGTCATTGCGTCCTGAGTAAGCTTTTTCACTTTTCATAAACGAATATACACCAAGCTTTTTCACGAATATACACCACTAAGTTCAAATAATTACAATCACCAATCAGTCTTACACACACAAAGACTCCCTCCTTAATATCATTGTCGTTGTGTAGAATTCTCTTAGTGACCTTGTCCAGCGAGCGCCACTCGACTTCATTCCTTAATATCGTTGTCGCTGTGTAGAATTCTCTTAGTGACCTTGTCCAGCGAGCGCCACTCGACTTCAAAAAACTTTCTCCCGAAAGCCAAATTCTTCAATTACAAATTAAGAATCTTTAAGAAGCACATGTTTTTCTTGCGGATTATATTCTCTCTCAACCACACACGACCATCACCTCCTCTCCAGCAACCCACACTCCCCGAATGATAAAAAAAATCAATCAATCCATACTTGCCCCATTTTGTTCTTCTAAAAGAACAGTCTTAACAACCAATTACCTTCCCAAAAATACTTTCCATAGACAGAGCCAATCAAATAACCAAAGTCAACCTTTTGAAATTACATTTCCAAAGAGCTTGCCTTCTTCTATAGAAAAAATCAACCTAAGAGATGTCAAACATTCCAAATATGGTGCAAAAATACAGAGATAGAATCTCTATAGCTGTTACAACCTTTTGCCAAAAATTGCCAACTAACAAAAGTCATAGCAATCTCCCCCTTTGGTATTTTTGGCAAAACTAACATAAGAACACATGACAAGAAATTCAAAAAAAAAAGAAGAAAAAAACTATTCTTTGACTGATTACATATGTCACAAGATCTCCCCCTTTTTGACAAGAAATAACCAAAGCAAAAATAATACTAATAGAAAAACCTTCTAGAAGCTGTTGTCGCATAAAGTGTTACAACACCTGATGGAACACTACGAGTCTTACTCCCCCTGAGTATAATATTCTCCCATGCATATTGTTTTTATCACCTATCAAAAGCTTGGAGTGACCATTACCATAATACCCATAGTTAGTAGTACATGCTTTAAAAGAGTTATAAGCCCCATGACACCTTAAATCAAATTTTTTTACCCACACATGTCTAGGAAATTTATTTTGCACATCAATCTTAGCTTTAGGTGTCTTTCTTGAGAATGTTAAATTTAGTGGATTAATGATCATACCTCTTTTTAAAGCATTTAAATACTTGTAGCATATTGGTCTTATGTGGCTAGGTACACCACAGTAATAGCATATGGGAACAAATCTTTTACGTCGAAAGGGTGAGATGATAACCTTTTTATTGGGGATAGTCGGACGCTTAGGGACAAGCGTCTCCTTCACAAACAATATTTTGGATGTTGAGCTTTCACCAGTATATCCAAGGCCATGACGATCACCACTTGATTTTCCCAATGAAAGAATATGTTCCAGTTTATTTGTACAAGAATTCATCATTTTCAAAATTTTCTGAATGCTCTCCAATTCAACCTTTGTTTCCTTCAGCTTCTTTTCTCTCTCTGTGGCAAGGAATTCATAATTATCAGTAGCTCTCTTCAACACATCATTCTCTTTGACAAGCTCATCGACCCGCTCCCGTAGAGACTTTTTTATTTCACACACTTTAACCCATTTGCTGAACATGATCTTATAGGATTCTTGTATGGGATCAACAATCAACTCCTCACTATCACTATTACTTTCAGAATCTGAAAAATCTCATTCATTTTCGTTGTTCACGGACTCTGATACAGGCAGTGTTGCAACACTGCTGGCAAAAACATCATCATGATCAGTATAAACATTAAAAATAATGTAGTTACTCGCACAGTCTTCATCCTCCTGACTGCCTTCAGAGTCTTCATTATTCCGCGTTGCATTCAGAGACTTCTTCTTCTTTAGAGTGTTGGCGCACTCAGATTGAATGTGCCTGTATCCATCACACTCCCGACATTGAATACCTCTATTCTTTGTCTTGAAATCAGTACCACTTGTTGCAACTTTATTCTTTTGAAAATTGATGAAGTTGCCATAGCTTGTATTTATGTTCTTCTTATTAAACTTCTGCATCACCTTGTTAAAATTCTTTGATAATCTTGCTATGGACTCAGTTAAGTATTTTTCATCATCGGACTCAACTTCTTCAACTTCTGCTTGAAAAGTAATATTTTTCTCCTTCTCCTTCTTGTTTTCATTCAGGTTCATCTTGAAAGTACGTAAAGAGCCCATTAATTCATCAAGCTTTATTGACTGCACGTCTTTTGCCTCTTCAATAGCTGTCACTTTGTAAGCAAACCTTCGAGGGAGTGATCTCAGTACCTTCCTCACCAGTTTTTCCTAATGAATTTTCTCACCAAGAGCAAATGATTCAGTAGCAATGTAACACAATTTGGAATTGAAATCTGAAACTGTTTCATTCTTTAGCATACGAAGATTCTCAAACCTTGTAGTGAGGATTTACAACTTTGATAGTCTAACTGTTGTTGTACCCTCATGAGCTGTCTGCAATATCTTCCAAGCATCCTTGGCTGATTCGCATGTAGAAATAAGTTTGAATTGATTGGCATCAACTCCATTGAAAATGGCATTTAATGCTCTTGAGTTGTTATTAGCCAACCGATCTTCTTCAGTAGACCACTTTTATTTGGGTTCTTTTCCAGCATCATCTTTGGTGATAAAGTGTGTCCAAACAGTTAGAACGACACGCCACGCCTTTTCATCAATAGCTTTGATAAAAGCCTTCATATGTGCTTTCCAATAGGCATAATTGGAACCATGGAGGAGAAGAGGACGCGAAACTGAGCCACCTTCTTTCAAAAAGTCCATCCCTGACACTACAGACCAAATCCCAAAACCTCACCAAACAAACGGTTAGTGAACTGCTCTGATACCAATTGTTAGGTCTGATTTTCGTGCAAGTGTTATAAAGAGTGTTACAACACTTTTAGCAATACCTGCATTTAACTATTAAGTTCTAAGATGATCAATGAACAGTGAATTGAAAACGTGCAGAAACAAAACGTAATGCAGGGGAAAACTAAAGAACACCAAAAAATGATATCACAGTTCGGTGCGCACACCTATATCTGCGGGGCCACACCCAGACAGTGAACAATCCACTAAGTTTAAAGAATTACAATCACCAATCGGTCTTACACACACAAAGACTCTCTCATTGATGTCGTCGCCACTGTATAGAATCCTCTTAGTGACCTTGTCCAACGAGTGCCACTCGACTTTGAAAAACTTTCTCCCGAAAGCCAAATTCTTCAATTACAAATTAAGAATCTTTAAGAAGCACATGTTTTTTCCTGTAGATTATATTCTCCCTCAACCACACACGACCATCACCTCTTCTCCAGCAACCTACACTCCCCGAATAATAAAAAAATCAATCAATCCATACTTGCCCCATTTTTTTCTTCCAAAAGAACAGCCTTAACAACCAATTACCTTCCCAAAAATACTTTTCATAGACATAGCCAATCAAATAACCAAAGTTAACCTTCTAAAATTACATTCTCAAAAAGCTTGCCTTCTTCTATAGAAAGAATCAACCCAAGAGATGTCAAACATTCCAAATATGGTGTAAAAATACAAAGATAAAATATCCATAGCTGTTACAACCTTTTGCCAAAAATTACCAACTGACAAAAGTCCTAACAATAATAATAAAAGAAGATGACTATGCTAAATATATATATATATATATATATATATATATTGCTAATCAATGCTAAATATATGCTTATAGACTACGAACTACAACTAACAATTCTTTAATAATACACTATCAAATTTTACTTAAGTATTTTGAATAGCTATTATATATTTTTAAAACAACATAGTAAATATATTTGAGATAATAAAATAAGAACCATCTCTTTTCTTTTTCAATTTTAGAGGGAAAAATTATGCAGATGTCGATCTATAAGATATAAAAATTAAAGACTAGAAATCCTAGAAATATAAATAAGGATATGTGAGAAAATGGTCTTTAAAAGTAGTGTTTTATTAAATGTCATGAGTTTTGTTAAATTAGCAAATGATCATTTTTTATAAAAGGGTCAATTGACTGATTAATTTAGTGGTTATTCACTGATTAACCGAAATTAACTATTTAACTAATATCAATAAATGATTTACTGGTCAATTAAAGATTAACTTGGTAATTAATCATTGATTGACTAGATTTAATTAATAAACCATCATACATTTTTCTAACAAAAACCATCAGGCATTTTTCTAAAAAAAAAAAAAAAAAAAAGGGAAAGGTTCTGATGAGGTTTTAACATTTTCTAAAAGAAGTGCGGCCACTTCACCCAATTTCTCTAACTATATTTACAAATATATTTTTAATAAATGAAAATAACACGTCTAATTTAGTTATTTATTATACATGATTATAATAATTTAATATGCAAACCTAAATTTTGCTTTTAAAAAGCCAGACACATGCCTACTTCTAGCGACAACAACTTTAGACTCAGAACAAGTTGACAACAAATTTTTTCACAAGACAACAATATCAAACGAGCTAAGATAAATGGACAAATAGATATTAATAAGTAAATAATCTCATACCAGCACATCCTATAAGGTATATATTATGACCTTAGTAAAAATAAGTTAAAAAGCATGAATAGACTTTCTATGAAAAACATGAATGGACTACATAGAGAAAAGTGAGAATTCCAAAACCAGCCAAACTCGAGATTTAATGGTAATTTGGTTTTTTGGTATTAAATTGCTAACCCTTTATGGCCTTTTTATTTCTTTTTCTGTTGCTGTTCTATTATTACAAGTTAAATAGAAGTAGGGTACTCTTCCAAAATAAGAAATAAAAAGAAAAGAATAAAGTGAAAGAAGGGGCTCATGGAAAATTTAATTGCCCCACTAAAAAAAAAAAAAAAGATGATAATCAAACCAATATGGTATTCCTCCTTTAAAATGGCTCCGACTGTTGGTTTAAGTTTATCGAACGGTCTAAATCGCTGTTAGAAACCTTAAATTCTTCAAGAAGTGTTTCGTTGGAGACAATAATATTTGACTTCTAATACACACGACAAACATACACAAACATACACATGTCATTACCACCGTTTGTGATGGCCTAAGGTCATGCACTTCTCATTTAAGAGATATGGTTCATATATAGGACCTTCAACAAACATTCCTGTAAGTATTAAGGGTATGCTAACACTGATCACCCTTTTCCTAAACTTAAAATCATGCTATCTTTTTGAAATACGCAACAAACGTGCACACGTTTGAGTTTAATTATTTGTTCAACTTGGATTTTTTTACCAATTTGTTTAATTATTTGTTCAACTTGGATTTTCATCCAATTTTGTATCTTGCCATGTGAGCTTGAAGCAAGCCAACCCATGCGAATAGCACGTGATGTGCCCCATTCAACTTGCGAGAACCACCCTTGGTGACCAAAGGAGTCCAAGGACTTTTAAAGAGACTAACGCCAAATGGCATACGAGACATCTCACATTAATCAATCTCACTTCTGTCTCCTATGACAAGCGGCTCATGCAACCGACGGCACTTACAGAGCAAAAGTTGTAGCTTTGTGAAGCTACAGCATTTCTCACTTTTCTCTTCCTACGCATTTTTAACTTCAACTCAAACTTTTTTACTATAGTATTCTCTCTTATAAAAATTCAAATTCAATTTTTTGACTATAATATTTTTTTCTCACATAAAAAAAATTGAATTGTGAAAAGAACATACTGAATTTTACAAATACCACACGCATATTCTCTTAGGAAGTAAGAAGTATTGGGTTTGGTGACTTTCCATTTTAACCTAATCTAACACCGGTTTTAGGAAGTGTCTATGAAGACACCCTCGAAAATAAGTTGAAGGGACATTTGGCGAATGAGCGGACGAGAGGTTCCGCCGGAGGGGGAGAGGGAAGAGAAGGAAGAGAGAATATATAGAAAGGCTTGTAATAATTCCGTATTAACATAACGTAAGCCATAAGCCTCCTAAATGGTTAAACCATCTCTCTTTTTTCAATTAAAAAAAAAAACATCCTTTAGTTTTCTCTGTTTGAATATTTATCTCTAACTTTCTCTCTATTTATCATACTCATCATAACATATTCCATTTTCTCATTAAACCAAGTGAACACGTGTTGGACGAAGAATATCATCAACACATCACATACCGAAATTTGATACGGACATTTATACGTTACATTTCTCATTGTTAGTGCAAATTCCAGAACCATCTCCTCCATTATTAGCTAACAGAGCTTGATGGATTCTGGACCAGCTTAGGATGAGTAGCAGCATAAATTGAAGAATGTACATCAGGTCTTAAGTGGGAAAGAAGATGCTGAATATCTGGTCTTAGACTTTCTGATGCTCTTCCAAAGAGAGCCAAAACTTCTGTTCGAGGCTTGCTGTTAGGCTGCACAGGCCCTCCCTGACCTTCATAATGAACAACGTGATGGCTGCAAAATACATAAAAAGACGTGCATATGTGAATATCGTAAGGCAACAAAGGAGTAATGTATCACACCAAGTAGGAAAATATATTTGGAGAGAATTAGTACTGACAGGAAGTCGATTAGATCGGTTATTTCGGATGCTTCAGCTGGTGGATTTGATGGCTGCGAGTTCTTCCCGAAGACATCCACCAAGATATTTAACAGCAATGAGATGGTCTGCAAGAAATTCGTCAAAGAATTTTTTTTTTAAAGAATAAAATAGTGTTAGGACTCCTTTTGTTCTAGACAAAAATAAACGTTTGAGCTAAGAGAATCAATAGGAATTCGGAAGAAATAACCAGAATGGCCTGGTTCCTTTGATTGAATGATGATCAAAATATGTACAGGGAAAGCAAAATACAAAACTGGAAATTAAAGATGGAGGTGAATTCGAGGACCCCTCCTAACCTCCACAGACTCAAGTCTTCTCTTAATTCTCGATGCCCTCCATTCTCTAGCCGTAGGCTATTTATTTCAATCCTCTAACTAACTCCCCTTCCCCCTATCTGACCCTTGCACACCTCCCCATAACCCATAACCGTATTCTAACGACGCCCCTTACCCTTACCTTGATCCAGTGTTTAACCAATTTCCCCTCCTGCCCCTGCTCCTTCTTACTCCTCGCATACACAAACCTGAGGGCTCCCAGGTAGCATCCTCCTGCGGTAACCCCCTTCTACTGCACCAATACCTCTTGTACTTGGCGCCCCCCTACAGCCACAGACCGAGAGTCCAAAACTGAAACCGGCTGAACCAGGAGCTCCAACTCATCATTCAATTGTTCCGGCAAGGCCAAACTGCTGTACTGTTGTTCCTTAAAGGCTTTAAGCTGAGATACGTGGAAGACCGGGTGGATTTTGGAGCTCTCTGGCAATTTGAGGTGGTAAGCAACTGGCCCGGCCTTAGCCAGAATGGTAAAAGGTCCATAAAAGTGAGGACTAAGTTTTTCATTGACTTTGCGTGCCAGTGACCTCATGAAATAGGGCCGCAGCTTTAGTAAAACCAGGTCACCAGAGGGGCAAAGTTGACCTCCCTGCGGTGCTGATAAGCAAAATGCTTCATGCGCTGCTGTGCTAAGAGCAAATAATCCTTGAGGGTGTCCATGAGATTGCACTGCTGGATCTGGACATCGACCTCATTGACGACTGTTGAACCTTCGGGAAAACGATACAGGGGGGAGGATCACGACCATACACTACTTGGAAAGGAGAGTACTTAGTTGAAGCATTATATGTAGTATTAAACCAATACTCTGCCCAAGGTAAAAACGACAGCCACTGCCGCGGCTTGTCGCAGGCAAAGCATCGGAGATACGTTTCCAAACACCGATTTGTAACTTCCGTTTGGCCGTCCGATTGGGGATGATAAGCTGTGCTTGGGTGCAGCCTTGTGCCCTGGAGTCTGAACATCTCGCGCCAGAAATGACTCATAAAAATCGAGTCGCGGTCGTTGACAATGGAGCGGGGAAATCCATGTAATCGGACGATCTCGCGAACAAACAAGGTAGCCACCTGGACGGCTGTATATGGGTGCGCCAAGGGACAAAAATGCGCATACTTGGATAGGCGATCGACAACGACTAAAATAGTATCCATCCCTCGTGACTTTGGAAGGCCACCGATAAAATCCATAGAGACATCCTCCCAAATCCGAGCTGGAATAGGCAGTGGTTGTAATAACCCTGCAGGCGACAAAGCTTCGGTTTTCGAGTGTTGGCACGTCTCACACTTGTCCACATAATCCTTTATGGCCTTTTTCATTCCCTTCCAAAACAAAACGGCTGCTATCCGTTTGTATGTCTGCAGGAACCCTGAGTGCCCCCCAACCACCGAGTCATGGAAGTCATGCATCCCCCGTGTGATCCAAGCCGATGATGGGGGCAGGACCACGCGGTCCCGAAAATAGAGCAGCCCTTGGCGAAAGCCAAAGCCCTCCCGCAGGGGCTGGTCTTGCTGCACGGCAGAAATAAGCATGGCACAGTCCGGATCTGTTTGTTGGTCTTTTTTAAGGCCCTCGATGTCAAAATGATGGGGAATAGATAAGGCTGCGAGGGAGACATCTGCTGCAGTTCCACGCCGAGACAAGGCATCTGCGGCCTTGTTTGCTGCACCCCGTTTATATTGAACTTCAAAGTTGTAACCAAGCAACTTGGCAACCAGGCGTAGCTGCTCAGGTGGCAAAACCCGCTAATCCTGGAGAAAACGCAGGCTTTGCTGGTCCGAGCGCACGACAAAGTGTCGCCCCAGGAGGTAGTGTCTCCATTTCTGCACCGCGAGCACAATGGCCAGGAGCTCGTGCTCATACACAGAGGATAGCCGAGATGTGGCGGAAAGCACCTTGCTAAAGTAAGCAAGGGGTCAGCCGTCCTGCATTAAAACGGCGCCAACCCCGGTTCCTGAGGCATCCGTCTCTACCACAAATAATTTGGTGAAGTCCGGCATGGCCAAAACGGGCAGTTTTGTCATCGCTGTCTTCAACTGAAGGAAGGCTGCGTCCGCCTCGTCGGTCCAAAGAAAAGCCCATTTTTTAAGCAGATTGGTGAGAGGGCGGGCAATGGTACCATATCCCCTCACAAAACGCCTATAGTAACCCGTAAGGCCTAAAAATCCACGGAGATCCCTTACATTCTGAGGGGTCGGCCAGGAGACCATGGCCTCGACCTTGGATGGGTCGGCAGACACCCCCTTCGAAGAAATGACATGGTCGAGGTATTCCACTCTCTGCTGGCTGAAGACACTTTTTTTGTAGTTAGCAAATAAGGTTTCCTATTGTAAGACCGTGAGGACCTGCCTTAGGTGGCCACAATGTTCTTCCTATGACCTGCTGTAGACTAGTATATCATAAAAAAAAACTAATACAAATTTTCGGAGAAAATGGCGAAATATTGTGTTCATTAGTGATTGAAATGTGGCCGGCGCATTGGTGAGGCCAAAGGGCATAACGAGGAACTCATAATGCCCCTCATGAGTGCGGAACGCCGTTTTTTCCATGTCGCCTTCCCGCACCCGTATCTGATGGTAACCTGCCTTCAGATCCAATTTGGAAAAAACCGAAGCTCCATGTAGCTCATCCAGTAGCTCGTCGATGATCGGAATCGGGAATTTATCTGGAACCGTGAGCTGATTTAAGGCTCGGTAGTCAACACAAAATCTCCAACTACTGTCTTTTTTCTTAACCAAAAGTGCCAGGCTGGCGAAAGGGCTACTACTAGGCCTGATGATGCCTGAAACCAGCATGTCCGACACCAATTTTTCTATTTCCCCTTTTTGTATCTGCGGGTACTTGTAAGGCCGAATGTTGGGAGGAGTCGCCCCCTCTCGCAGGATTATCCAGTGAACCCTCGCCCGATGCGGTGGCAGCCCTTTTGGGGTATTGAAGACGTGGTGGAAATGCCGGATAAGTCCATCAAATTCCGGAGGCAAGTTGTGCGTTTCCACGACAAGCCCTTCTGCCCCTACAGTGTTTAATTCCAGGAGCACCCCCACCTCTCGTGCTTGACAAAAGCGAGTTAAGGAACGGAAACTTACCGATGAATAGCTGAGGGATGGATCCCCGGTCCACTGTACCCAACTTCCCTCTTGCTGGAATTTCATGGTGAAATTCGCCCAATCTGCCCGAACCTCACCCAGGGTACGTAGCCACGTAATTCCCAAAACTACTTCCGCACTGCCTAATTCAAACGAGAAGAAGTCCTCGATCACCCAGTGTCCCTGCATGTGAATCTGCACCCCACGGCACACCCCTTTTTGTTGAAAATTCATGCCGTTGCCCACCTGAATTTTGTGTCGCACGGATAAATCCGTTAGTAAGGCCAGAGTCCGCACCAGCTCAGCCGAAATGAAACTGTGGGAGGCCCCACTGTCGACCAGCACGACGACTTCCCTGTCGCCGATGGTTCCTCGCAATTTCATGGTCTTTGCGGAGGCAAATCCCCGAAGGGAGTTAAGTGAAAGATCGACGTTACCTTCAGTGGTCTCCACCTGTACGGTTGCTGCTTCCGCCGATTCCTCCCGCAGGTCCTCCCGGTCGGAGTCTTCCCAGGAGCCAAGGACCTGAAGCTATCGGAACTTACAGCGGGGTCCCGGGCTAAACTTTTCATCGCACCGGAAACAAAGCCCCCGTGCCCGTTTCTGTTGTATCTCCTCGTAGGAGAGCCTTCAGAAAGATGAGTCGCCATTAGCCGTCGCACCCACCGCCCCTCTAGGAGCCTCTCGGTGTCGCGGTGCTCGCACCAAAACAAAAAATAGTCGGTCAAAATAAGGAATTTACTATCTAGAGCTTTGTCAAGATCCTTGATTATATTTATAAATTTGTTGTTTAGGTTTTTTCTTTTTTGTTCATTAGTATAACTCCAATTATTATATAATTCATCAGAGTAAAGTTTATCTGTTGTGAACAGAGACATCTTTCTTTGTATCATTTCGAAAAAAGTTTTCAAACTGGGTGGGTACGTAAAATGATAACTTACATGCTGTTCTATATCTCCATGAATCTAGGAACTTTTGCTTGCATTGTATCTTCACCTCCGCCCGAATATCCTATCTCAGGTCGTTGAGGAAAGCGCTTCTGTAAACCTTCTCGGGAATGCCGCTCAGAGTCGCCACTAAAGCCTCGAACCCTCCCGGTACTCCGCCACCGTTCCCCCTTGCCTAAGCGCCATTAATCTCTCGGTGGGGTCTCCTTCCCGCGACAGGCTAAACCGCTGAAGGATGGCTGCCCGCAGCTCCTGCCACTCTTCGAACGGCTCCTGCGAATCAAGCCATTGATACCAGCTAAGGGTTCGACCTTCCATGCATACGGAAGCAGCTAGGATCTTCTCGTCTTCGTCCACGTCGTTGACGGTGAAGTAACGCTCGGCCCTGAAAATCCACCCATGAGGATCCTCCCCATGGAACAATGGAAGTTCCAGCTTCTTTCCCCGGTGTTCCCCTCGATTTCGCACTCTCTCCGGCGACCTGTAGCGGGGGTGTCCCATTCTTCCCCTCGCTAGCTCCCCCCTCGGCGGACTGAACTCGCCTCGTGCTGGCCGCACGGCCTCCCTCCGTGGGGGAGTCTGATCATTCCTTCCCGCCCAGGAGAATTGAACTCGCCCCGTTGCCGCCTGGGTGGTGATTGGTCGATGCGCGCTTGCCTCACCATAAATTCCTCCAGCCTCGCGATTGAGCCCTGGAGCCCGT